CGAAAGAATCTGTTGAATGCATTGAAATCTAACTTGGATTGCTTGTGGTTGATTCCGAAACCCTAGACCTTCACCATTGTTTTTCAACCTTAAAATTCAACCTTTTTATCCTCAATTGTTTTTATTAATTTCTTGTTTGTTCTTAAACTTTCACGACAACAATCTCTACAAATTCACTTGCATATCAATTAGATTTAATTTACGTATTCGAATATTAGATTAATTTGGAATCCTCATGGGAACAATACTTGGACTTGTCAAATGCTATACTACATCATTCTTGTGCACTTGCAAGGACAGACCAAGTTTTTGGTGCCATTGCCGGGATTCCTAAATTAATTTAAAATTTGGATTCTTAATTTATGTAGAGTTAAGTTTATTTTGTGTCTTATTTTTTTATATATATCTTTATTCCCGTTTTGTTTCTTATTTTATTGTTATTATTTCTATTTTTCTTAAAGTGTATTTTGGTTTCAGGTGTATACAAGACTTCCATAATGAATAGTTAAACTCTTGATTACCATAAGAGCAAGTCCAGCGCAGGGGCCCTGCCTGGGCAAAAGGCCCCCCCAGCGCAGGAAATCCAGCCCTAGCAAGTGCTGGGACCCACCGAATCGAGCAAGTCCACGGGCATATCCTACCTTGGCTGCAGCCCAAAGGCACTGACGTCAGCGAGCGTAAATACAAATTTTTTTAATCGTTGGCGCATGAATTTCCCAACGGAAAAATGACATGTGGCGCGTCCTGGGCGCTGCGATGGTTTTTTTTTTCCAGAAATCCGACGGCCCTCGTTTTTTTGCCCAAAAAAATTCCAAAAAAGTCGAAATTTTTTTAAAAAAATACTAGATTTTTTCCCTATAAATACCTATCAATTTTATTCACTTTCCACACCAAATCTTTATACAAACTCTTCTCCTTCCAATATTTTTTCCATTTCACTCACATTTTTATACTAGTTTCCATTTGTATCAAAAAACAAATGGCCTCTTCTGTCGAAGCCGGAGGCGCTTGGACTACTGTGGAAGATATTGTGTTGTGTGAGTCTTGGGTGAAAGTTAGTCATTGCCTTATGTCAGGCAATGAGACGAAGTTTTCTCATATGTGGAGAAAAATTCATGAAGAATTTGCAGATAGATCCAGTTTGACTCGGACGAAAATGGCCTTGCAATCCAGGTGGAAATTTTTGAATAAAGAGTTAGGGAAATGGAGGGATGCCTTGGCAAAAGCGAGGGACCACATGAGAAGCGGTCAAAAATCTTACCGATGAGGTAAAATATTTATAATTCTCGTTTTATTCAATTTAACGTAACTTTTTTTTTCTTGCATATTAAATTTATATTTTGTTGCATTTCTAATTTATTTATATTTTGTTGCATAATAATTTTCTTTGCATGCATTTGTAAATAGTTTATATTGTCTTACATATTTATTTTTTTGTTGCATAATCATTTATTTCTTGCATTTCTAAATTGTTTATATTTTGTTGCATAATCAATTTTTTTCTTGCAATTCCAAATTATTTATATTTTCTTCGATATTCATTTTTTGGTTGCATTTCCAATTATTTATTTTGAATAGATCGTACAAGCACAAATGTGGTTCGGTGCCACGGGGCAAGGCAAAAAAAGTTTCCAGAGTCACCAATGTTGAGAAATTGTGAAGAATTGTTCGAGATTCAAAATCATTTGCACTGTTCCGATGGTTGTGTTGAACGAGATACCGCTCCACGATTCGCCGACAACCGATTCGCCATTGGACTCCTAAATGGATCAAGACTCACCACTCCCACGTGTGCCGAGACCTATTGGGAGAAATGCGGCAAAGGCAAAGAAAAGGAGCACTTCGAACAATGAATGTGCACAATTTTTGAAGCAAATTGCTAAGAATAGTGCACTGAGACTTGAGAGAGACTCAAAAAGAGAAGAAGCTGTTTGCCGCGCAAATCTCACGGCCTGGAGTTCCGGGCCGAAGGGATGTGCGTTAACACGCGGTTTCCTGCTTTTGGGTGCGGTGCGGTTGTGCGCGGGAGTGCCAGCACGGTCTACCGTGCGTCGATATGTTGATGAGTGTTGGATGGATAAGTGGTGCGCCTGTTTGATCTGTCTTCTTAGTCAAACGATTGTAGCCGAGAAAGGAACTGGTCTCGGCTATTAGGATCACGGCCTGAACTACAAGGCCGTTGAGTGATGGTGTTGGTGGTGAGTTTTGGGCGGTGCTCCGGCGCGCTGCGTCGTGTGATATATGGGGTGAGTGAGCGAACAACAAGGATGGTGCTCCGGCGCCTTGAAAGTCAAGGGTCGTATGATATATTGATGAATGGATTTTCCTTACAATCTAACATTACTCCTAGGAAAGCAAGTAAAGATATTGAAAGTGCATTACAGGAAAAAATAAGTTGCTCCGTGGGAGGTTTTGTTTTGGTGTTGAACCCTTTGAATGTAGCTCGAGTCTTGTATTTATAGGAAGAGTCCCTGGATGAGTAATCGAGGCTGAATTAACGCATAGTGGAGTCTGATTAGCGCAAGTGGGCAGTCCAATCGACATTTGGGATCGTGAAGTATGGTGGTGAGACCCCAGAAATCCCGGTGAATCTCGGCC